CCTCCCCCACCCCACCCTCCTCAGCAAGGACCAGCAGGTCCCTCCCGGGAACATTTCAATGATTCATTAGCACAGGCTCACTCAGCACCACCCATGCCAAGCCCTGGTGGGAGGGGGAGGGGGAGACACAGAAAAACAAGCCAGAGCCCTGGCTGGTGTGGCTCAGTGGATAGAGCATCAGCCTGTGGACTAAAGGGTCCCAGGTTCGATTCTGGTCAAGGGCATGTCCAGGTTGCAGGCTCGATCCCCAGTGGGGGGCGTGCAAGAAGCAGCCAATCCATGATTCCTCTCATCATTAATGTTTCAATCTCTCCCCCCTCTCCCTTCCCGTCTGAAATCAATAAAAAAGCAAAACATAACAAAAACCCAGAACAACATGAGGAGGGGCCGTTGCTCACAGGGGAGTAAAATAGTGTTTCACAGGGAAGGACAAGGGGGGTGGGTTCCTGTGTGTGTGTGTGTTCCTGTGTGTGTTCCTGTGTGTGTGTGTGTTCCTGTGTGTATGTTCCTGTGTGTGTTCCTGTGTGTGTGTTCGCGCGTGTGTTCCTGTGTGTTCCTGTGTGTGTGTTCCTGTGTGTGTGTTCGCGCGTGTGTTCCTGTGTGTTCCTGTGTGTGTGTTCGCGCGTGTGTTCCTGTGTGTTCCTGTGTGTGTGTTCGCGCGTGTGTTCCTGTGTGTTCCTGTGTGTGTGTTCGCGCGTGTGTTCCTGTGTGTTCCTGTGTGTGTGTTCGCGCGTGTGTTCCTGTGTGTTCCTGTGTGTGTGTTCGCGCGTGTGTTCCTGTGTGTTCCTGTGTGTGTGTTCGCGCGTGTGTTCCTGTGTGTTCCTGTGTGTGTGTTCGCGCGTGTGTTCCTGTGTGTTCCTGTGTGTGTGTTCGCGCGTGTGTTCCTGTGTGTTCCTGTGTGTGTGTTCGCGCGTGTGTTCCTGTGTGTTCCTGTGTGTGTGTTCGCGCGTGTGTTCCTGTGTGTTCCTGTGTGTGTGTTCGCGCGTGTGTTCCTGTGTGTTCCTGTGTGTGTGTTCGCGCGTGTGTTCCTGTGTGTTCCTGTGTGTGTGTTCGCGCGTGTGTTCCTGTGTGTTCCTGTGTGTGTGTTCGCGCGTGTGTTCCTGTGTGTTCCTGTGTGTGTGTTCGCGCGTGTGTTCCTGTGTGTTCCTGTGTGTGTGTTCGCGCGTGTGTTCCTGTGTGTTCCTGTGTGTGTGTTCGCGCGTGTGTTCCTGTGTGTTCCTGTGTGTGTGTTCGCGCGTGTGTTCCTGTGTGTTCCTGTGTGTGTGTTCGCGCGTGTGTTCCTGTGTGTTCCTGTGTGTGTGTTCGCGCGTGTGTTCCTGTGTGTTCCTGTGTGTGTGTTCGCGCGTGTGTTCCTGTGTGTTCCTGTGTGTGTGTTCGCGCGTGTGTTCCTGTGTGTTCCTGTGTGTGTGTTCGCGCGTGTGTTCCTGTGTGTTCCTGTGTGTGTGTTCGCGCGTGTGTTCCTGTGTGTTCCTGTGTGTGTGTTCGCGCGTGTGTTCCTGTGTGTTCCTGTGTGTGTGTTCGCGCGTGTGTTCCTGTGTGTTCCTGTGTGTGTGTTCGCGCGTGTGTTCCTGTGTGTTCCTGTGTGTGTGTTCTTGTGTGTGTGTTCCTGTGTGTGTGTTCCTGTGTGAGTGTGTTCTTGTGTGTGTGTTCCTGTGTGTGTGTTCCCTTGTGTGTGTGTTCCTGTGTGTGTGTGTTCTTGTGTGTGTGTTCCTGTGTGTGTGTGTTCTTGTGTGTGTGTTCCTGTGTGTGTGTGTTCTTGTGTGTGTGTTCCTGTGTGTGTGTGTTCTTGTGTGTGTGTTCCTGTGTGTGTGTGTTCTTGTGTGTGTGTTCCTGTGTGTGTGTGTTCTTGTGTGTGTGTTCCTGTGTGTGTGTGTTCTTGTGTGTGTGTTCCTGTGTGTGTGTGTTCTTGTGTGTGTGTTCCTGTGTGTGTGTGTTCTTGTGTGTGTGTTCCTGTGTGTGTGTGTTCTTGTGTGTGTGTTCCTGTGTGTGTGTGTTCTTGTGTGTGTGTTCCTGTGTGTGTGTGTTCTTGTGTGTGTGTTCCTGTGTGTGTGTGTTCTTGTGTGTGTGTTCCTGTGTGTGTGTGTTCTTGTGTGTGTGTTCCTGTGTGTGTGTGTTCTTGTGTGTGTGTTCCTGTGTGTGTGTGTTCTTGTGTGTGTGTTCCTGTGTGTGTGTGTTCTTGTGTGTGTGTTCCTGTGTGTGTGTGTTCTTGTGTGTGTGTTCCTGTGTGTGTGTGTTCTTGTGTGTGTGTTCCTGTGTGTGTGTGTTCTTGTGTGTGTGTTCCTGTGTGTGTGTGTTCTTGTGTGTGTGTTCCTGTGTGTGTGTGTTCTTGTGTGTGTGTTCCTGTGTGTGTGTGTTCTTGTGTGTGTGTTCCTGTGTGTGTGTGTTCTTGTGTGTGTGTTCCTGTGGTGTTCCTGTGTGTGTGTATGTATGTGTGTGTGTGTGTGTCCGGTGTGGGATGGTCCCTGTACGCAGGGCCATGGAGTACGGGCCTGAGAGCTGAGCGTTCCTGTGGGAAAGAAAAGGTGGGACCTGGGCTGGATCAGAGGCCGACCTCCCGAGGAGATGGGGTCAGCTCCGAGGAGATGAAGGAAGGAGAGGGTTTACGTTGAAGAGCGCGAGACGGGCAGCCACGCTCACCCCGGCCCAGCGCCCGGTCGCATCCTGGCCG